ACGTTTGTCAGACAGCCGTGAGGCAGAAGCTGATCAGAAAGAAGGACCTCCAGCTAGTGTCCAGGGACAGTACCCAAAAGGAATCCTAGCACTCTCTCTCAGATCTGGAAGTCGTGTGTGTGAAAATGGTGTTCACCAGGTGCTCTGTGGTGAACCTTCCTACCCCAATTTTTATATTGACCCTTAACACAGATGTCTGGTACATTTTTCAAGCCCTATACTCCTTGGTATTGTCAAATGCTCTCATTTAGGGCATATCTACACCAGGTTTTTTGGGGTTTCTTTTGCCAAACATTTCCCACTGTTGCTTCCACCAGTGTTAGAAACAGTAGCAGTGTTAGTGTAAATAGGGCTGTACGACTCACTGTTTCAAGCATGATGTTGTCTAATCCTGCTCAGAGCAGGTCCACATGACACAATGGCAAAAAATGCCAACAGCTATCTTCAGCCCTAGTTATACTAATATGCCAACTCTTGCTGCCATTAGTGGTGCTGAAATGGTGGAACCAATAATAGAATTTTTTTGCCAAATTAGACAAGGCCACGGTATCATTTGTAAATTTCATGACCATGTTGTTTACTCCCTCTTTATTTATGAAGACCAGGGCCGTCCTTAGGATTTATGGGGCTCTATGCAGTATTATTAAACTGGTGCCCCTATGCTCCACTGAAGGTGGTCCCCAGCTGGCGCCGTTGACCCCAGTGTGCCAAGGGGGCACAGCTACCACCCCCGCCTGCGGATCCGCAGAACCCACCCCATTGCTGACACACACCGAGCTTCGTAGCAGCAGACGCTGCGGCAGTGGCTCAAGGCAGGCTTCGCGCTGTCACATAGGGGCTGCATCTTGCCAGAGCCCACGGCCCTCCTGCAGCCCCTTGCCACTCCTGGCTCACCACAAGCATTTTGACAGGAAGTACCAAGCAGTAATAACAACAATAATAATACAAGTGTGCATATATGTGTGTGTGTGTGTGTGTGTGTGTGTGTGTGAGAGAGAGAATCAGTGCATGTGAGAGAGCCAGCAAGAAAGCCTGTGTGTGTAGGATTGTGTATTGGGGGACTGTGTGACAGAGTGTCACACACACACAGTCTCTCAATCTGTATTGGGGGACTGTGACTCATGAGAGGCAGAGTGTATGTGGGTGTGAGAGCCAGTCTGTGTGTGAGAGAGAAAGAGAGTGTGTGTGTGTTAGGGAACTGTGCGAACTGTTACTTTAAGTCCCCCCTCCCCTGCTTGGCCCGGTTCCGCCCCCTCTCCCTCCCGCTCGGCTGACTCACGTGGAAGTTTCACTCCTTCTGTCCTGGCCCCCGCCTTAGACCAAGCGGCCCAGGCAGGGTCCAGGGAGGGACTCCGCTCTGGGCGGCGGTGGGCCAGGCTGCCACACCGCCAGTGACCGGCTGCACCGCTCTGGGCTCCCCGGGGCTGGGGCGGCAGAGCCAGAGGCTGAGGAGGGAGGGAGAGAGGGGGCTAGGGTGACCAGACAGCACGTGTAAAAAATCAGGACGGGGGTGGGGGGTAATAGATGCCTATATAAGAAAAAGCCCCCAAAATCGGGACTGTCCCTATAAAACGGGACATCTGGTCACCCTAGAGGGGGCGGGGTTTGGGGTGAGGAGAAGTCCACCAGTCCACCGCGGGGAAGGGGCTGGAGAAGAGAGGAGTGCAGCTGCAGCCAGCGAGGGGAATGGGGCCCCAAATTTTTGGGTGCCCTATGCAACTGCGTATGCTGCGTATGTCTAAGGATGGTCATGATGAAGACAGTAAATAAAACTGGACTTGACACTAATCTTTGCAGTTTTGTCACTAGACATCTCCCAAAGCTAAATACATTGCTAGTTTATTATTACCAGAGCTGAGCAAATAATTCACAGCAAATGGATTCCAGGCTGAGCTTACACAGCAGGCAGTTATACAAAAACTTCATTTTACTTGTAAAGTAAGTGTATTTGATAAGGAGATCCCTGAGACTCAATAAATGTGTGACTCCTACAATGCCATTTTTTTACAGAGTCAACTGTTCAAAGTCCATCCAAATTATAAGATGTTTGAGTCCTTGGAATGTTTGTACTTGACATTCCAAATTCCCCTTGGACAGGGAGTGTACAGATCTGGCTTTCTACTGAACTTTTATAATTAACAGTTTTGTGAATTATTCTGTATGACAAATCCCAATAAATAGTTTAAATAGATGGTTTCATCCAGGAAGCATTTTTTTTCTTGAGCTGATTCCATCCTATGTTTAAGCATATTTAGACAGTAATGATCTGTAAATGAATCCTTTGGCTGTGGCAGCTTTGAACAGTAGCCAGTACCAGCATTGGGAGCATCAGTGAACAACATCTGGTATGAAAGAATTAGTGCAGATTTCAGACCAAAAATTCCAACCAAGCTGTTCCCTTCCTCCATTCCTAATCCTGCATCAGTTCCACAGGGGAGGGAAGGGATAGGATATACTAGGGGTGGTTGGGGAGAAATGCAGACAGGCAGATGCTCATTTGCACAAACTCCCTCCTTTCTTTGCAGCAATGTGGGTCCAGTTTGCAGGGCTGCTGTGGAGTTTCTCCACATTCTTTCTATGCCTGTCTTCAGGATTGGGCCATGCCCATGTGGAACCTTCATGTGTATTCTGCTATTCCCCTTAGTCCTATACAAGACAGGCTCAGGATTTGGGCCTACATGAGTTCCTTGTTTTAATCCCCTGTGTAAATGCAGGCAACCAGCCTTTAGAGTAGGTGGAGGGTGATGCATGATGACTGTCTACCTATAAAATCAAAACTCTTGGATTAGTACCTTTGGGTTCTTCAGAGTCAAAATAGTCAACTACTCGGCCTCATGGTTAAGAAATGGCCTGTTGTTTGCATGATGCTTGCCTATGCTTGTGTCTACTATTTGGAAAGATAATGGAATTTGAATGTTCAGAAGCCAGCATTTATTTTAAAAAGGAGAACTGTAGGTTGCTTTTCAAGGAGGGATGTTATTTTTCTGGTGCTCAGACATTGATGCCCATTGTTGCCATGATGGGATTTCTTACTTAGCAGTGGCAAATGGAGGAGAACATTCTGAAATAAGGTTACTGGAATAAGGTTACTTTCTGAATGTCTTTTTGGTCCCCTTCTTCTGCCTCTGAGTGACTTCAAGTTATACTTGAGACCTATCCTGGTCCCATGAACCTGTCTGCTTTTAATGCATCCTCTTATCCCATATGGTATTATCAAAATAATTAAAATTGGGAAGTTTGGGTAACTCCACCAGTCATTGAACTGCTCACTTTCCTTCTCCCTACACATCTAAGCTGGTTCCAAGTCCTTTTGGCACTGTATCTACATCATCTTTAAGAGCCACCTATTCCCTTCTATTTCTACTGGTACAACCCATGTCCAAATCTTTGTAATCTCTCCCCTTAACTATTCCAAATCTACCCAATTCTGTTCTCCTTAATTCTCACTTCACACCTTCCAGTTCATGCAGAATAAAGCTGCCAAAATCCAATTCCTTGAATGTGGTTTATTCCACTCCCTTTATGACTACCCATAACTTTCTGCATTGGTTGCTTCACATCTCTCATTCCCTCTATGTGGGCATAGGCTCCATTATCTTGAATACCAATCACCCTTTCCTTATTCAGATCTCACATTAATCCAAACTTCTTCTGATAAGCCTTCCAGACAGTGCTAGTTCTCCATTACAGCATTACTCATTTCTTCATCAATTAAAAAAGTAATTACAAATTCATGATGTCAAACAGCTTCTATCTCTTGCTCCCAGCAGAAAACTGCATTGCCTAGGGAGATATCCCTTCATTTGTCTGCTTTTGTCCTCCCCACATCGTTCTTGTCTGTTTGCTCATGGACCATGAATGGAATTTTCAAAAGTGGGCTAACTCTTCTCCCACTAACTTCAGTGAGAGCTTTACCGTTGATTTCAATGGGAGTAGAGCTAGGCCAATGCTGAGTGCTCTTGAAAATCCCAACCTTTGTCTTTTTTCTTGTGCTTGTAAAGCATCATGCATACTTATGGCACCCTATGAATAGTGATAATAAACAATTACTCTTTGCTCAGACCTCTATGGTTCCCTAAAAGCCACACTTACATTTCTCAGAGGGGTAGCCATGTTAGTCTGAATCTGTAAAAAGCAACAGAGGGTCCTGTGGCACCTTTAAGACTAACAGAAGAATTGGAGCAAAAG